GTAAAACTAATTGACAGTGTAAATCAAAGATAAGCATATAGTAAAACAAAATAATAATGTTCAGACCATCGGGATCAATTGTTCTGCCTCTTTGAATGAAACAAAAGCTTCTCTGGCCTTACGGATGGAGTATCGGTTGGAAAAGAATTTTTTGACGGGGATTAATTGCATGTCGTGGCAGTGTGGTCAGGAGATGACAGAAAATGTTCTGCGGCTGTAGTAAGTTTAGATTTGTTCTTAGGGTTATCTATGGTAAGGTGGTGTTCGTTAAATCGGTCTTTTAAACGTCGTTTACAATACATGAGAGAGACGAAACGACGTTTAAAAGACCCATTTAGTCAACACCGCCGTAAAGGAAAATTCTCACTGTGCGTGAAGAAGGCTGGTTTGGCCAACCGAAATAGTACACCTTGAAAACAATCATCCCACGTTGTGTCACTTTCTGCTTTTATACTCTTTAGGATTTACTGTGTTTGTATGAGAATCCGATGGCAAACAACTTTTCCTATAATGCCCCTTAGAACGTGAACTCCTCTATTACCCCAAAGATTTGGCCTGGAAGTTAGCTGTCTTCTGTACATTATCTTAAGCAAGTAATGAAAAATTTGGAATTTTCTTTTCCAGCCCGCGTGGCTACTAGCTGGCCAGGAATATGTTCTCTCATCCATACATCCATACACTTTCAATAGCTCCGATCAGTTTAATCCAATTTAATTCAAAACGATTCAACAAATGCAGATGTTTTCTATTTCAGTTTACTTAACTCTAGTTGTTTTTTCGTTTACATTCAATGGCAGTACTCGAGACTGCAAGATTAAGTGATTTAATGAGTTTAAAAACATCAACAATGTAAATAGTTACAATTAAATTTTTAAGCTTTTAGTTTAAGTAGACGGCAGGTTGTTTGTCACACTGTACCTGTATCTAACTATTTTTTGGTAAATAAAGAAGAATAAATATATTGTTTCAAAATATTTCTTATAACTTTTTTAGCTCTAAAGTGGAAAAAAAAACAAAAACAAAAACAAAAAACAATTGACTGCTGCCGGGCTACAAAGCCGGAAAAGCTAATTTGGTTGGTTTGGTTCCATTTGTTTGGTCTTTGCCAATCTTCGCCT